CTTTTGTTCCCCATGGTTCCTGTGTGTAGTGTAAAGTAGCCACCACTAGCCAAGTGATACATAAATACTCCTTTCCTATGTTCCCGTCTAGTGGCTATAATGTAGTATTTACCGGATATTACATTCAACTAGAAAAAAAAAATATACTAATAAGAAAAAAGTTATATATATATATATAACACAAAAAACTATTTATTTGAAAAATGTAGTGCACTATCTATCCAAGTGATACTAAAAAAAAACAACTCACCACTATATGCCACAAAAAGTTTAGCAATTCTTTATACGGTGTATAGCACCCCAAAACCCATGTGTATATAAAAATACCATGTGCTGCCTCTCCACTGTGTTCTCTCTTCCTCTCCCTCCTCTCTAATATTATATTTTCTTTTCCTCTCCCCCCCACAGATCTAATAACAAATCCCAAACCATCCAATATAAATCAAACACAACATCCGTAGATGATATACACATGTATATGGTCCTCGCTCAACAATATCAATTGAATAAACCCCACTGTATAACTAAAGATAAACAGAAAAAAAAGGAACCACCTATACTAGATGCCAGGGATGCATCTGACCAACATTCAGCCAAAAATTCACTGCATCCCTAGCTTCTCTCCTCCCCGCTGTGCGCCTGCCCATGTACCTCCTGACAAAAGGCACCTAGCAGGGGTAGAGAAATAGCATAAGCCCCCATTCACACCTAGGCGTATTGTAATATGCGCGTCTGTCACGCGGTTCGCGGTAAAAAAAGTCGCGCGACCGGCGCGCGATTCCAAAGGCTACTTGGCTGTATCCCAATGGAAAACGCCCTACAAAAAGGGAGTGTGCAGGCATACAATATGAGTTCCAGTCCTATTAAACATAATAACAGTGTCTAAACATTAAACCAATTGCTCATAAAAATATGCAGGAAAAAAAGAAGTCCATGCCTCCACACCATTATAACCAGAGGGGGAGAGAAATTACGCAAACATATTCCACTAAACCACTGACTGCAAACATTAACACAAAGGGCTATTCACAAAAGGGTGAAGAGTTTGGAGAAGTGAACAATCTAGGACAAAACAGCTGAACTGGAACGTGAGCTGAATTGGAGAATGTTTCCAAATCGGCTATTTTGGCCTAGATTGTTCACTTCTCCTGTCTTCTCCAAACGTTTCACTCTTTAGTGAATAGACCTGTAAATGTGTTCTTCCCAAATACATACAAAATAACAGAAGTCCCCCTACTTACCTGGTATGACCTGTGACTGATTAAAGTGGAAGACAGGAATGTGCGGTATTGTCATGATACAACTGGAATGGTTATTGCTCCCTCCCTTGTCCCTCCCACAGAGGTGGACTAGTAAGTCGTTCTCCTTCTACACTTCTAGCTAACCCCGCTTCTTTCCTGTGTTTGCAATTTGAATTACTCCGTACTCTTGGCTTTCAAGGTGAGAGATCAACTTTGTAACTAAAACCGACCATACACCGGAAGGTTTTCCTCGTTCAGCCTGCATGCTGAGCCCATAAATGTGTACAATTCAGTAAACTGGTTAGATACACTGAGGCCCCGTTCACATTTGAGCGATTTTATCGCGCGGTAATTCCTGCGATATCGCTGCAATTTACCGTGCGATATCGCTCTCCAATGCTTCTCAATGGGGCAAAGGGTCCCGCTGTCGCGGGTCGTGTGTCGCTACAGCAGGACCCTTTTTGGAGCGGATTTAGCCGCGATTCAAGCTTGCTCAATGCAAGCATTTGCGCGATATCGCGCAAAATGCAAATCACGCGACAAACGCACAAATTTGCAAACCGCTCAATGTGAACGGGGCCTGAGGGGAAAGTGTCAGCAACAGCAGATCCTATACTCCTATTCTGACAGGTTCCCTTAACTCCAGGCAAATAAAATCTTAACCCTTGCAGTGGGGCTACCCCAGCACTGCAAGGGTTAAGTGCTTGTTTTGTCTTGTTAGCTAAAATAACAATGATATACTCAACAGAACTGCAATCCCGGCTGGCTGTTAGACTGGTACATGCAGCAGTCAAAGGTCCTGCGAGTCATCACATCCCATGAAGTGTATAGGACGTGAGCATGCTGAGGGACATTCCATTGCTGGAGCAGAGGAGGAAACAAGCTGCAGGGACTGGTCTAGGAGCCAGCCGGGATCGTTGTTCAGGTGAGCATTGCTCTATCCTTTTAGTGTTCTTATTTAAAGGAAACGTTTTACTGTGAACAAACTTTGCAAATCCACCCCCGCTCCTTTCACAACTAAAGCCGGGTATACAATTTGTAGATTTTTTTTTTGTTCTGCTTTAGTGCTGAATGGTGGAAATTCTAACAGATTGCCCAGTCCACGCCTAACAGTGTTGGAGGAATCTCCTGCTGCAGCTATTGTACTCTGACAGTTGGCCCCGTGGGCTGTCAAAATACGTGCACAGTGCCTGCATCTCATTGGATGCCAGTTCTGTTTGGCTGACAATTTTCAGCCTGGCTCCCTTAGTTTTTTTCAACTGAACAATGTCTGGCTGGAACCACCCACCCACTGAGCAGATTGTGGCTGTTTCATCAAGAACTGGACAAAATTGAACAGTGTATTGCAAGCTTTAAGTCGGATATACACAATTATATTTTCCTTCTTGAACCTGCGGGCTGTACTAAGAAAATATAACAGATTCCCTGTTGTTTCCAATGTATTCTGACAGCAGCACTGGCCACTGTCAGAATACCCGAATGGTGCGTGCAGCCGGAAGATTATCCTACATGTTCCTTCGGCAAAAGTTGATCTAATGATCGACTTCTACTGATGAAATAGGTTCACCAACACAGCAAATTTTTGTCAATTCCTCTGCAATTCTCTCTCCTGTGTACCCTTCTTAAAGGAGAACTATGGGGTTAAGGCTTTTCCCCATAGTTGTCCTTAGGGTAACAGGAGGACACAAACTAGCGTCCTCCCGTCACCCAAGGCTCAGTATACAGCGAGCTGCTGCTCATGGTATACTGAGACGCCGCAGCTGAAGCGGATCCCGACAATTGTGCCAGGTTCCGCCCATCCACATGACTGACAGCTGGCTCTGCCTATTTAGAGGCAGAGCCAGCTGTACCCGCCCCCTCCCCCGTCCGTTCCGCCAGTCAGCGCTGGTGGATCAGAGCGGGGAGGGGGGAATCCAGCCGTGACAGGATCGAGAGGTGAGCGAACGCCGGTATGTGTTCGCTCACCTCCCGATCTACTGAGCCGACCTGTGACAGTCTCATTGTCACAGGTCGGCTAGAACTATGAGGTGAGTGGAAATCACTCACCTCATAGTTCTCCTTTAAGGCAAGCCGTGCAAGTATAGATTTTCTCTCATCAGCCCATGGGCAGACATAACAAAGTCACTCAATTCTCTCATCCCACACTACAGGACATGGATAGAAGTCTATGGCTGCAGTCACTGCTCAGCCAACAATCTTCCACCCAGCTCCTTTAACATACTGTAAGTCAGCTGGAAAATTCTGCTGGAAATCTATGTGATAGCAATAAAGTTAAGTGAAAAAAAAAAGTTAAAGCGTAAGTAAAGGTAAAAAATAAAATTGCTGGTAGGTCGGGATTCTTGGCAGAAGAGACATGCAAAGTCTATTTAGATAAAAAAAAAATATTATTCTGCTCTCTCCCAACTTTTCTTTCTTTTTGTGAACACTGTATGGCACATCTCTAGGGTGTCACAATTCGGCTGGCTAACATGGAGGATGTAACTCCTGTATGTATGTATGTATGTATTATCATAATGACCGTACAGAACCCAGAAGTGTCCGTGGCAGGGATGGTGGAGGTGGGGGACAGCGCTGAGGACCAAACATCGTTCCGACAGCGCTGGAGAAGGGCAAAAAGATTAAAGTGACATTAAAGGCTTCTTTCCATTAGTTTTCAGGAGTCCCTCCAGCGCTGGTGCCAGTCTCTGATCCAGCGCTGACTGCTGACTACTGTGTACCACGGTGTCTGTGCGCTTGCACGCTGCCCGGCTGTGTGCATTGACTTACACTGTGTCTCTCCTCTTCTCCCGGCCGAAGATCTCTACTGCGCATGTGCCCGCCCCATAATCCTTCACTGCTGCCCAAGAATCTTCAGACGGGAGTGAGCGGCGGAGACACAGGTAGGTAATAGCCTTTTTGGTAACTTTTTTTTAATGTTTATGTATATATCTACTGCTTGCTAGCAGGTTTCATTGTACTTTAACTGTCGCTGGTCATGAGGACTTCTTAAGTAGCAAGTGTTTTGTTAGGTTAAGTACCCCAGGGCTGAATACTGAAAAATGGCCTGGACAGGAAGGAGGTTTAACACAAAATTTAAAAAAAATCGAAACTGTTTACTTTCACTTAAGTAGAAATCAGTATACAAAACAATAGTTCAAAGCCCCCACCACCCACGAATGTAAACGTGTGCATCAGTTGTGCCTAGGTATAACAACTATTGAGCAATAAAATAAATCCAGTGAAGGGGGAGGTGTGTTATAGTCACCTGTTTTAGGGTGACAGCGCTGCTCCTCCATTGACTGTACTGTTATGAGTGTCACCCCAGTGTAAGCAAGTTGATGCGCGCGCACCCGCCTACCTCACGTGCACGAAGGTGTACCATCATGTTTCTGACAGATAGTCCGCCCTTCTTCACTATATTCTGCACTGACGCGCACCCCAAAGTAAAGCATGCATTCCAGTTGAATACAGTTCAGCAAACAATGTATGTACAGTAAGAAATGTCATGTAGTAGAAGAAAAACTCACTGCGCTCCAGAGTAGTCTAGGAAACAACGAGTTAACAGTACAAGGACTCTGAGTGTAAAGACTGGCGCTTCTCTCAACAAATATGGCCGCTCTGCTGCTCAGTGACAGCCCATTCAGGCTTCGCCAAGCTGGTCACGTGCTTAAATACAGTGTGGAGGACGGGGACGCGCACGGGAACTATACAGAAAAAGGAAGGTCGGGGGTTAGGTGTTGCGCATGCGCTGTCACTATTCTGTTCCGACAGGATTCTTGTGTGCAGAAGACCCCGGAACATAGATAACAAGAAGGAGAAGGAGCAGGTAGTATGTGTCATTTCTGTATCTCCTCCTGACAGAGCTATCAGGTGGGGGGCATGCATGAGGAGCAGGCTGGGGTAGGGTTAGAAATGACATAAGAGGAAGTTCCACCTTGTGTAGGACATGGCTTTTGCTTGAACACTGATACTAAGAGTCCCATGTTTACATTCTGCATCACAGCATTACCCTGCATGTTACAAAGACAGCTGGGGAACTTCCTGGGTGACCTGGGTAGGACAGGAATAATGTGCTTTTCTATTGCCACTCTATACAAATGCTAACCAATAGCCTCATTGTGCTTCTTCTATTTAAACTATGAAATTCAATTGATATTTGTGCTTATTTTATTTAGGTGATGCATTATGTGAGACTGCTATCTTCCATTGTGCTGGATCCTTGACAGTGCCCTGCTTAGCACAAATGGCAGTAGTATACCTTCCCAGTGGTGACATGATGATCCCTCTGGTGCCCATGATGCAATCTTTAAGCTGAACTCCAGGCACAAAAACATTCATCTAAATATATTCCCATATAGCCACAAAGGATATAAATTCACTTTGTGTGCACCAAATGCCTTAGCAATTCCGGATATTACTTGTAAAAGTATCAGTGACATCATCACTGTGCTGTATGTATCCTATGCAGAGAGCAGAGCTGTGGGAGGGGCCAGCAGGCAAGCCCACTACAGACTGACTGCAGATAACAACAGATAGGGGCGGACACAAGACCAGTCACCCTGCACAAGGATAGAGAGCAGAAGTGACTGGTCTTTATTACAGGAAGCTTCGGTAGAGAGGTAACATTTCACATTGGATCTGGATGAAATACACAACGTTAATCAAGATACAAGAATACATATGCCACTTGTATTTAGACTGTGCATGTTTTTCAGTTTTAAGTATGTTTCTGTGTATGCAGGAAAGCATAATGGTAGGTCATTGGAAGTCTGAGGAGAACTAGTCCCCAGGGTGTGGCTAAGCTTTTATTTGACCATCAACTACTGATTGCATTTGGTGACTCTGTCACCAGACCATTCATTTAATCAAAAATCTTCCCATAAGGTTATATGTGTATTGGTTACCTGTTATTAATCTGTAAAAGTCTCCCTTGTGCTGACATCCAAAAGCCCTGAGACTGCTCCTTTGTTCCACCATCTTAAATATGATATCAGCAGACTCAGAGCAGTCACACAATCTGTAGGAGTGGTTTTTAGCTTACAAGGGGGCTTTACTGTGGCCCTGCAGTGTGACAGCTGCAATGTCCCACGCCAGCTCAAAGTATTGGGAAGAGTATATTTCCCAATATTTCTTGAAGAAGGCAGTCACACTGCATAGTGGAAAAGCACAGTGGTGCCTATTCTTGTGGTGGTCTGGATGGGCGCTCGTTGTCAATGCAAAGACTTGGGCTTGGTTCTGGCTGCACAAAGTTTCCCATTGGCTATCCCTCCTATATACAAAACATTAGAAAGCATGCTCTTTATTGATCTGTCTTTTCATAATTTGTACTGTAATAATGCAAACTTTTGTTTTTTTTGAAATGCAGGTAACTTATAAGTATGTCTGGAAGTAAAGGGAGAACGAAGAAAAAGGCAATACCGATTGACACTTCATCTGACAGCCTTCCTGTGCGGTCTTCAGTCCGGCAGGTATCCAGTCTTGTAATGCTGCTCTGTAAATTCTACCCGCTTTCCCCAAAAATAAGACCTACCCCGAAAATAAGACCATGTACTATTTTGGGGAATTGCTAAAATATGAGACCTACCCCGAAAATAAGACCTAGTTATGACCATTCCCAGGGCTGGTGGTGGCATAAGGGGGAACTTGAAGAGCCGCGGGAGAGGCAGGAGAGTATCATCGGTGCCAACGAAGCCAGCGCTAGAGGAAGCGAGGCGGCAGCGGAGGGAGCAGAGCCGCATAAGCCGATGCCTCCTCTATAGCGCCGGCTCCTGTTACGAGCGTAGTGATACCAAATGCACTCCACCTGTAAGGAATCCATAGTGAAAGTGCGCTTCACTCATTCTGGCCAGCGATTGGTTAGCAAATTGCCCTGATCACCATATTTTTGTACATGAATACATGTAGACTTTTCTACATGAATAAGTGTGGATTGTTGTACATTGAAAAATAAGACCTAGTGTGTTTTTTTGAGCCAAAAAAAATATAAGACACTGTCTTATTTTCAGGGAAACACGGTATGTGTGCTGAACACCATCAGAAATCTTACTTCCGTTTTGTGTCATTGGGTCCCTGCTTTTCCCAGAAGTCTGGGAGCTTGAAATAAAAAATATAGGAATACCCTGCAACAGAAGTTTAATTTTTGCTGGGATACTTAGAAAGAATGGAACCCGGGGCTATTTCTTTTCTTTTTACAGCACTGAGACTAAGAATCAGATTGGGAGTTGTGACTTGGCTTCTGCATGCTTGTTCTGTGTTTGTTACTTATACTACTAAAGGTATTGAAGTCAGATACATACAGGTATGTGGCATTTTCAGAAAGGGCTCAGCAATGGCAGCCTATGTATTTCTCTTATTGTACGTTTTCCTTAACGCTTCACAAGAGAGAGCAGCAAGAAGAGAACCTAGAGGTACCTGTGCATACCTTCCGGAATATGTGTCCTGGCACCCCCAAATGCTAGGCCACTGTAATCTGAAAGCTTCAACACTTCCCTGTAGATCGGAAAACTATCCCTCTCCCCCCCACACCTTCTTATTGGCCGTCTTCTTAATGAGCATCCTTGGTGGTTGGTAAGAAGTTGGGAAAGGGGGCATTCCAGCCTTTAGTGCTAGTGGGAAATCTTAAAGCTTGCTGATTGGAGCACCCCAAGATTCAGGGTTCCTGGGACACACTTGGAGATTGCTGAAATTATACATGTTATGCATGGTATGATTTTGGATTTAATTTTTTTTTATTGCCGGCTGTACTGGTGAGGAATTTTTCAGTACGTAGGGAGGGGGCCTGCTTTTAAAAAGTGGGCTATTGTCACAGAGCCCATCTTTCACACACTCTTGTTTCTCTAGGCCCAGGGTTTCCATACTGATAACTTGCATGTGTCTTGGTCATACTGCTTGTAATGTCTTAGTATTTACATTCATGGATAACCTAAATTTGAACATCATTGTGACAGGATCCCCATTGTTGGTGATGAGTGAATTTGGTTTGTGGGTATTTTGCTTTGTAATGCGGAACCCACTTACAATTCAATTTTTAATAAAGTGATTCAGTAGTAAATGATAGGAGTAATCTCCATATTGTCCACAGACATGTGAAGATATTTATAACATGTACATGCTGTTCTCCTGTGTTCAGGTGAAGAAGAAGGCAAGTGAAGCATTTGATGATGATGATGATTTCTCAGAGAAGAAATACAGAAAGTGTGAAAAGGCGGGATGCACAGCAACATGTCCAGTGTGTTTTGCTAGTGCTGCTGAAAGGTAGGCAGGCTTTTGTTTTTATTTAGGTATTTGTGATATAATGTAAATGAGTATTTACCACTTGCAGCCAGCAGATAGTGAACATGAGAGTACAGCCACCTTATCACCAGGCTGACTTTCTATCATTCTTTGAATAGCTTGTGCAGCGATTATGCTTTTATAGCATAATATCTCACAGGGGGTCTCCGGTTCAAATCCCAGTCAGGACACTCTCTGCGAGGAGTTAGCACGTTCTCCCTCTGCATGCGTGGGTTTCCTTTTCGGAAACCAACAGCGGCCAATACCTTACTTCACGCCACCAGCCACCACCCTCCACCTCTAAAACAAGGAATTCCAACCGGCCAATTTCTCAGGATAAAAAGAAACTGAAGTAGACAAACTGATTATACTAAGGAATCTAAAACCCTGTACAATAGGTTCAGGGAACGTGGATACCCACATAGAACCTTAAAAAGAAGCAAAAGAAATGTAAATCAAAAAACAAGAACGGAACTCTTTAAAGATAAACCCCAGGAAGAAAACGAACGCCTAGAGCAAGCAAACAACTGCACAAGGATGATTACCAAATATGGCTCGGGATAAGAAAAATTGGCATCCATCATGACCAAGCACTGACATATCCTGACACTCTGCCCAAATGTATCTAAAATAGTGGGACCCAGACCCTTGTTAACGGCACGGAGATCCCCAAACCTGAAAGATGCCCTGGTCAGTTCAGAATATAGACCTAAACATGCATCTCAGGATTCTACAAAACCAAGGGGAATGTTCCCCTGTGGCAGATGCCGGATATGTCCCCCAGTTGAAAAAAATTAAATATTTAAAAAAACAGAAGGAACAAAGTTCTACAAGATAAATAATTTCATTAACTGCAATACCAACAAAGTAATCTATCAAATAGAATGTCCGTGCCATAAGTACTATATAGGAAAAACAAAACGGCAACTACGGATTAGAATTGGAGAACATCTAAATGACATTAAGAAGAAAGAAAAAGATAGCCCCTTAGCCACTCATTTTACAGAGTTCCACAATAGCTCACCCGATGGTCTGAAAGTAAAGGCGATATATGCGCTTAATCTACCCCCACGAAGGGGCGATTTTGACACCATCCTGCTCCAAAAGGAAAAAATGTGGGTTTACCGATTAAACACCCTGTTACCATTTGGTGTGAATAACTAATTTAATTTAAATGTATTCCTGTTAACCCCTCTAAAGAATCACAAGACTTTAGAAACCTCACAAAAATAAACCAATCAAATGACTTATCTGATATGTTACTGTTCTATTTTTAATACCCACAACTATTTTATGCATTACTGACATTCTTTCAAACTTCAAGAGAAGTCGGACCAAATAAAAAAAATGGGTCTGATTAAATGATGGTCCACAGGTGAGGATTGCAGTTAAATCTATCCTACACCTGGGAGCCTGCACGTCCTGACGAAGCCCCGGGGGAGGGGCGAAACGCGTAGACGCTGCACACTGAAATGTTTGGATGACCCAGAGAATGTCGGACATCCTGTTCTAATGTCTAGACCTACAGCACTCTTTGTTTTGGCCCCCAAATTACCTGTGGATTCTCTGCGCACATCTCCAATCACTAAGAGTGTGCTAACTGTGTCTGAAGTTCTGAGAGATATTGCTGACCTTCCTCCATACACACCCTCGGCCGAGGCATTCTATGGACTCTACTACAAGGAGGAGGAATAGGTTACGTAACCTTCGGAAAAATCAAGAGTATATCTCCAAAAAGAACAAACAGGATACGCGAGTAGGAACGTTGAAATTACTTAATTCTATGCACTTTTTTCAGAAGAAAAACCTCTCCCTTTACTTTGGAAACGTCAAGGGGGGAAAAAATCTAACCAATACGATTATACTCACTCAACCAAAACACACCAGTACCTGAAACGTGATACACACACGATCAAAAATCAGGACTGAGCGAATCCTCCTCGAAACAACACATGTTGTGTCGAGGATTTGACACAGGGAAGGAGCCAATCGATAGTCTGGAAACGCTCTGACAATTTGCTGTCTACAAACTATCAAAACCTCCCCTTAGTGGGAATACAGTCTATCAAAAGAGCTACTATGTAACACTCCATACTGAATACAGGCAAATCTAAGTCAAGCAAGGTGGTGAGCTGCAAGATACATTAGTCCACAAAGGTATGCGATATATAACAAGCCTGGGATTAATTCTTATCCACCTGGAGTATGTATCATTGCAACCTAAAAGCTGTTACCCAAAAGGTCTTGATATAAAGGTGCTGAAAAAATAGGGTCTATATTTACTATCCAGAACCAAATGGATTTACACTCAGTCATTTTTTTGTGATTTTTAATGGTGCTGTTAGGTGTTTGGTGGTGCTTTGATATGTACTAATAAAGTTTTTGTACGATTTTCTAATTTGGTCTGTCCCGATCTTTAGTTAACCCTTAGACTATCTCCCCTCTGAAAGCAGTCTAATCCCTGTTTTTGTATATACACGTATAGATTATCTGCAGATTTTCTATGGTCAGATGGAAAACGTGCAACAGATTCCTCCATCTACACTAAACTGTGTGCATGGAGGAATCTCCCACTGGGCCAAGCTTCAGTATCTTGCTAGTCCGCCCCGCTGGCTCTCAAAACACCTGAACAATGCCTGCATCCAATCAGATTGTTCAGGTATTTGGAGAGCCAGCGGGGCCGACTAGCAAGATACTGAAGATTGCATCCACACAGTTTAGCGTAGATGGAGGAATCTGTTGCACTTTTTCCATCTGACCACAGAAAATCTGCAGATAATCTATAGGTGCATGGCGAGCTTTAAACATTAGCCAATGCCACTCATCACACTACTAGCACAGAGCTGTTGTGTAGGATGAATAGGCAGGGTCTGCTTGCCCTCCACTCACTCCGCGCACTCGGCTGGCTAGTGTTAGAATAATTGATGCTGATGACTGTAAATGCATGCAGAAGATACTGCACACAAAGCAGACCATGTATGTTCGATGCTTAATTAGTTTGAAAAGAAAAAAACAAACAAACCTTATAATCCCCTTTAATTTCAGATGTGCTAAGAATGGTTATACATCAAGATGGTATCATCTTTCCTGTGGGGAGCATTTCTGCAATGAATGCTTTGACCATTACTATAGGAGGTATGTGCTAATCTGCATATTCTGCTTATTTTCGACATAGTTACATAGTACATAGTATTTGAGGTTGAATAAAGACATTAGTCCATCAAGTCCAACATATTAGGATCTCATTCTAGGAGTACCTGTACCCCTGAGAGTTTGACACATGTGCTCTAGTGCATGTTGGTTTCCAGCTTGCTTTTTGATTGTTTTATTTAGTAATTGTTCTGCTTTGTCTTCCTGTTTTTAGTCACAAGGATGGTTATGACATATATGCTTCTTGGAAACGAATATGGACAAGTAATGGTAAAAGTGAACCAAGTCCCAAAGCTTTTATGGCTGACCAGCAACTTCCTTACTGGGTAAGACTGTTACTTGTTTAAAAGACATACTCCATTTAAAGTTATAGATTAAACCTTGATATGGATTCAGGGAGCCATAGAGAACTGGTGACTAGCTCAGATTTGTATCTTGACATTACTGTATTGCACTAATTTACCCCACTCCTTTTTGTCTGTAATCTGGTGATCCTGGAACACACTTCATAGTGATGCTGGACCATATAACTTGATGTTTACCATACTCACAAATCCTAATATAAAAATTCTGGCTCTAAGAGGTGCTTCACAGCTAGAAAGATTCAAAACATCCTTGGAAGTTTTATATATGTTGGTGTATGCAGTGGAGAGAGAGGGGGGCATGTTTTATAGCACAAGCCTTAGGACGTACACTCCTACCTGCCCTCCACTGATTCCATATAGAAGCGTACCTGTCACCTTCTCTGTCTTTTATCTGTAATCTAGTGATTTTAGAATTTGCTTGCTTGTGTTCTTTGGAATGCCTACTGCAGGCCTCTTACATACAGAAAGCCTAGTGTAAAAATGCCTGTAGAATAGTCAGGGAATTTGTATTTGTAAGACGATAAGTCCGTAATGCCTTCCTCTAAGGAAAGGTTTCCTATTTGCTGGCGTATAAGACGACTCGGCGTATAAGACGACCCCCCTACTTTTTGTGTTAAAATATAGGTTTTGGGCTATACTCGCCGTATAAGACTATAAGTTTAAATGCACGCACTAACATCCATGGTGGTATTCCTGAGTGTGGCTCGGGGTTAATTTTCAGTACCATAAGCGGTAACCCCGAGCCACAATCGGGATTACAGTCTCTTACCTTGTCCACGATCCCCGCTGTGTCCTCTGTCTTCCGCTGAGTCAAAGCTCAGTATGTATGTAGCCGAAGCTACATACAGTATACCATATCCTTCTGTATGTACCCGGCGTATAAGACGACCCCCGATTTTTGTCGGGTGTTTCAAAACCCGTCTTATACGCCGGCAGATACGGTACCTTATAACAGCCTGGATTTAACCATATTCATGGGATCTATTACTGTTTGGAAAATATCCTGCTCTGGTCATAGGGAGCTGTTCAGTTTCTGAACTGTGAAAACGCTAGTTATTCTTTGAATATTAAAAGTGATGTTTATTCCATTTCTGTTACAATTATTTGCTGATTGTTAATTCTGTATTTTTAGGTACAGTGTACAAAACCTGAATGTGGAAAGTGGCGTCAGTTGACAAAAGAGATTCATTTAACAATACAAATGGCGAAAACATACAAATGTGGCATGAAACTAAACTCAATGAAGGTAATGGTTGTTTATGGATTCTTGTTGCATATTTCTTGGCATTACATTTAGAAATTGGACATTTTAAGACCAATCTCAATTAGTTGAACATAATTATTCCTTATTTAGACAAAGCCACACCCACTGGAGCCAAGCCCCACCTAGTTGTGGCTCTGAAAATCAACAATGTTCTGTCAGAAGGAGTTTGGGAGTATGATATTGATGTAGGCCTACTTGGCTATAGCCTACTTTTAACATGTTATCTTCTTCTGCTGTTAAAGTGATATTAATGTCAAAAGAGTTTTAAGCTATTCCAAATGCTTCTTTATGTTAACAAGTTTTAGTTTCCTGTAGTATTTGCTGGTTCCCTGAGCACTGGTCCTGACATCCTGTTTCAGCGTGGCTCCTTGCTCAAGCAGAGTTTTATGGAGCCACCCTTGTGTGTGTTTGTAAGCTGCGTGTGTCTCCACAAACACATAGACCCAGGGAATCAAGCTACCCCCTCTCCTCCCTCCACCCTTCTACAAGCTAGTAGATGTACAGCTGCTGGAAACTGTGCTCTCTCTTGTGATCTTGAACAGGAAATTCAGGAAAGCTGAGAGACTTGGAAGCAGCTGTTAAGAAACATGATGACTATAAGTGTTTGGGCAAAAATATAAAGAAATACTTTGCCGGGCAATGTGTATTTGTTGGATACATTATTGATGAAAAATGTTGAGAGTTTATTACTATTTCAATTCTAAAATATATGTATGCATTTTTGGCAGGCTGAGGGGCCAGATCAGTGCACCATGCCAGAAGACCTGGTAAGTTAAACTGTACATCTTACAAATAAACACTGACCATGTTCTCAGTTGTTACATACAGCACATATTAATTTATAATGCATATAAGATGCTAGGTACAAATGTAGAAACTGATGTTTTCATTATTTGTTTAATATCTATTATTCACACAAGACACTGTGTTTGCAAAACAGGCTAACTAAAAAGCCCAGCACTACTTTCCTGCTTTCTAGCAGTGGAGGAAAGGGTATGTCCTGAGGCTTCAATTGCAACCTAGACTTGCTTGTAGCACCAATTGTTGGCTTCATTGGTAAATAGTAAATAATCATCTGAAGTATTACATGTATACTTATTAAAAAGAAATAAAACCGTTCGATTTTAAAAAATATATTAAATATGATATATTCCCTTTTGATACGCATGTGTTTTGTACAAATGTAACTTGTACATTTCCTTGCATATATGTCTGAATACCACTAAAACATACTGGGGGGAATTCAAAGAAAGTGGAGCAGACAAAATCTGTGGCAGTTGCCCATGGCAGCCAGTTAGCTTCTATCTTCATTTTCAAAGCTGAACTGAACAAACTGAAAAGAGAAGCTGTTTCACTGCCATGGACGACTGCTCCAGATACTGCCTGTTTTAACCCTGTTGCCAGTTTTGGCAGCTTTAGCGACACTTGCAAAAGATTCAGGTAGTTCTTAATTGTGCTACTGTAAGAATTTGTTGCTATGGCTGTGACAGATGCAAAAAGGATAACCGCCAGTTTACAGATTAGAACACCGGCGGTAATTAAGACCAACTTTCCGTTCAGACAAACGCCAGTGCTCAGAGTGGGCGAAGTATGTAATGGAAGCTGTCATCTATGCTACGAGGGTACTAGCAACCAATTTTGCATCCCTGACCCCATTCAGCTGCCGTCTGGGAGATCCCCCCGGCCTGCAGCTGAATGTAAACAGAGTGGCCAGGGATGCTAGCTGACATAATGGTATTATTTCTGTTGCTGTATACTTATCTCACCCTATTGACCCAAAGCCAAAGTATCATTGATAGCCAAGCAACTAGCATTTTCATAAGAAGGCTGAAGCTATTGTAGCCTTCATTTTCTGTCATGGTATGCTTATTTAAGCCATTTTTCCTTCTCTGTTGTGCTCACATATGCTGGATGTAAATTGTCTTGTTTTTATGCATTGTCAGAGAGTATCCGAAGTATCAACTCACCAGTGGTATTCAATGCTCATTCTTCCACCGCTATTGAAAGATAGTCCAGCATCCACATTGTTGGCTGCCTATTACCCTGACTGTGTGGGCATGAGTCCATCATGCACCACCACAAATCGTCTTCATATAGAAGGAAAACTGGAACAAGACAGAGAAGTTACTTCTAACTCAGCCGGTGAGTGCTTAATATTTGATCATTGCAGTCACCTAATGTCTCCCTAATGACAGGGAAGAAGATGTTCACGTATTTCTTTATTTTTACAGCTACACAAATGAATCCCTATTTTCAGCCATTTTACCAGCCCAATGAATGTGGGAAAGCATTATGTGTAAGACCTGATGTGATGGAACTGGATGAGCTTTATGAGTTTCCAGAATACTCTAGGGATCCAACAATGTATTTGGCTATGAGAAATCTCACTTTGGCCCTTTGGCACATAAACTGTAAGGTGCGTGAAAATGCATTTCTAACACTTTTCACCTTTTTGATTTATTATTATTGTACAGGATTTATAGAGCGCCAACAGTTTGCGCAGCACTTTACAAAATAAAGGGAGACATTACAGTTACAATACATTTTCAATACAGGAGGGTTAGGAAGGCCCTGCTTGTGAGAGATTATTAGTTTTTTGCTGATTTTTAGCTGGGCATCAATGATAATATAGATTGGTGGTACTCAACCCGTGTGACCTCAGGACCCACATTTGTCCTTGGTCATTAAGTCACGACCCAAGTCGCACTGCAATGGAATGCATGACATTGCTGTACCGCGCGTTACGGTGCAGGTGACTAAACTGTAAGTGTGAGGTGTGTTTGGGGTGACATTCAAATGACCTCCCACACCAAAACGCACAGTAGGTGTGATTACATCGTACAGTGCATTAATTGCATGAGACTGTGCGATTAACGCACTGTACTAGTGTGAACGGGCCCTCAAAAACACTGACAGACACATAACCACAGACACAATCTCACACACTCACAGACATTGTCACACACACATACACTCAAAAAAAAAAATATATATTTTTAAGATCCACCCAGTATCCCTACCTGGAGTAGTTCCTTAACTTGGGATCCAGTGTCGGCTGCTGTGATGGCGCTTCATCCATATGTGCATTGCTTGTACAGCTTCCATGCACCCTTGTAGAGGTGTTTGGGGCCAGAATGTGAGATTACTCCAGTACAGGGACCTCTACAGGGCATGTGAGGGAGCTGTAAGCAATGCACGTATGGATGGAGCTCCCTAGTGGGCGCGGCCATACCCCCAACCCACCCCACCTCAAGTCGACACTCGGCACTGGGCAGCATATTTTGAATGGCTGCTTGGCGCAAGAACTGACAGTGCTGCTCTAGGGGGGGGGGGGGGTTGAGGAGCCTCTCACCTAGAAAAGTGAAAAGCATGCGGCGACCCACTAAACACAGGGTCGAGACCCACTTTTGGGTCACGACCCACCAGTTCAGAACCAAGGCTACAGAAGAAATATATATTATACTATATATTAATTTTCTATAATATACAGAGAGGTAAGAATAGTGTTGTGTTTTTGTTTTGTTTTTTGTCTTTTATACTTTTGGAAAGAATGAGGAAGGGATATATTTTCTGCGAAGGGTTTATTTGTAGTCTGTACCTTTTGTTTAGGAAGTTACCCCTCACAGAAATCTTTTTCTCATTCTGTTTGGGGGAAGTTTTAAACCCCTGCAATCTGTTATTATTGCCTGTGTCTTTCTGTCCCAGAGACAACCAATTTTTATGATTTCTTGTCCTGCTGTCACAGGAACAGGAAGTGAATTTTTCCCAAAGGGATCATGTGTAGCAGTAAAAAGTTGACAAAAGTATAGATAAATTCCCAAATGGATACATAATCGCAGGCTGTACTTTGCGCATGAAGAAGTGCATAGAGGGGTGTGGATGCTGGCTGGTTGAACTTTGAGTTTCCAAAATACTGTAAGGATCCCACAATGTATTTGCTCTAAAAAAATTGATCTTGGCCCTGTGGCACATAAACTGTAAAGTGTGTGATGTCCGCAAGGGGAAGGAAGTACAGCAGGAGCTATATTCTTCTTCTGTAAAGCCAAAAAAAGGCTATATGTTTTAAGAAAAGACACTTCATTCCTAATGGCAGAGTAAAACATATATTGTATTAAGCCATCCGAAATTATAAAAAAGTGCTCGGATTTGAGCTTTACATATTTTAGGGCCCATTCAAACCAGCAGCAGCATTAGAACATAGCCGCTGGTGTTCTCTGTGTAGGTTTCGTTGCCAGCTCGTTTCGAAACAGCTCGTCACACTGTGTCCTTTTTATATGCCATAATATGTCACATAGTGACACTTCATTTCGTTCACTTGGTCTCAGCGTGATGCAATGCAATGGATTGTGTCCAACCACGCTGTGCTGAAAATGCAGTATTTTTTTCAATGCACATCACCATAACACAGTGGTGTGAACTTTGCCAGTTATAAACAAGGCATATTCCCTTATCTTTGCATTGGGACTTCTCTCCCAGTGCAGCTCAAGACAGCTGGTGTCAACAGGTTACTGCCCTGACTGTAAAGTGACCCTGATGACAGTTGAGATACAGTTACACAATTGCCTTTTTAACACTTTGCTCTATTTCTTAAACATTTTATATTCTAATCCATACAGGAGGTGCTCACAGCGCAGACATGTGCTCATCATATAATGGTAAGGGGCCTGGTTCGCATCCGTTGTGTACAGGAGATGGAAAGGATTCTCTACTTCATGACTAGGAAAGGACTGGTTAACACTGGAGTTTTGTCTGTTGCACCTGGCCAGTACCTACTTCCAGAAGAATACCACAATGTACGTAGACACATTTTAAACCTTGTGACCTTCTGGAAATTTGCATTTAGGGACAGAAGTGGAATGACAGATGTTTTACTTGAAAATTTTATTTTTCAACCTAGTGCGTTATTTGACTTCTGGCTTTCTTGACATATGCATCAGCTGTTTTGGACTTTATGTAATTTTGCTGTCCAAGTATTTTGGGTTGATTTATACTGTATGACTGTTATGATAGTAGTTAGAGAACACGGAATGCATTTTATCTCCTGCCAGCATATACCTGTACTGTACAGGGGATGCTTTTATAGTACCACATGTAGACTATATACACTACTCTCCAGGGACAAGCGGTGAGGTCAGTGGCAGGTGAGGCACCCCGTCCCGTCCCTGCTGCCACCCTGCCCTGCCCCAGGCCCAAGCACCGAGCTATGTGTTCATCTGCCTCCCTGTCCCTCACTAGCCCTTCACTGATGAGGCATCTAGATAGATGCTGTTAGTGTTTTATTTTTCTTTGTTTTTTTGATTGGACGGCTTGGACCAATGGCACTTTGCCATTAGTGCAAACCATCCACAGAGCTCAAGCCTCTGACTTAAAGTCAGAGGCTTGTTGTAGCTCCGACCTCACGGTGTTAGTTTACATGCAGCAGCGGGAAAGCCCGATGCTGTGTAACCTAATATAGCTGTCAAAAGCTGGATGAAGCGCTGCCTGTAATTAACATGTGGTGCTCTGTCCATGACAGGTTACACAGCGGGAGGCTTTCTCCTGCTACTGTCCTTTGCCAGCACGGCAGACTGTTTGCCATGCCAGCATGTCTGCTGTGTAATTCATACATCCTGACATATCGTGCAGATTGTACTATTTTGAAATATTTTGAATTGTAGAGATGGCATTTCATGACAAAATTACCATATTTTAGTTATGTCATAAAACGACATCCTTTTAATGAAGTGATGTTAGCAATGTTTTTGTATTGAAATGATTGCCAGGTACATCTGAAGACATAGATTTTCTAGATACTCATTAATAATTCTGCTGCAGTTAAGCTCTACTTGAATTTCTTTGTTTGATATATATGGAACAAAGTTTTTAATGAGTATGTAGCCATGAGTATGTATGTAGCCATGTCTGTCCTAAGTGTCTACACAATATATACAACACATCCTTATTGTTTTTTATGCTACAGAGGTCTGTGATTGTCATCGGGGCAGGACCAGCAGGACTGGCTGCTGCTCGAGAACTACAGAACTTTGGAATCAAGGTATTCAAGGAGACTTTTTCTTTGTCCTATATTGTGTGTTTCTCTGAAAATTCTATGCTGAAACAAAGACAACATTCCCAATTCAACAAGACACGGTCACCTTGATTATTCAGGGCAAAAGTGACATTGTTTGTATAACCCCCGCCCCCCCCAAACCTTACATTATACAGATTTTTCTAGTGCTCCCCTACCACACCTTCTTTAGTGGTTGCCACTGGAAAACACCTATTACTTTTGGGTATTGGGTGGGCAAATGACCTTTGCCCATGGTGCAGTGCTAAGGCCTGCGCTGCTGTAATTTGCTAAAATCCACACAATTTATAAAGCTAACCTGGAAATAATTAATTCATAATCCTCAACCTGTAGTCTGTATTACGTGTGGTGTGCAGCTTTTTATGGCCCTTAAATTAGTGCATGTTGTCATTTAGAATCCACACAGTGAAAGTGTAGTCAGAAAACTCCAATGTATATTGGCTCATTAATTGCATACATTTCATTAAATTCTAATTTAATTTCCATTGCTATATACCTGCTTCTTGTGTTCTTTTTAGGTGATGATCTTAGAAGCAAGAGACAGGATCGGTGGCAGAGTCTGGGATGATAAGTCTTTTAAAGGATTCACTGTGGGAAAAGGAGCACAGATTGTGAATGGCTGCATAAACAACCCTATTGCATTAATGTGTGAGCAAGTGGGTTTCTGTTGTCTTTGTGTTTTAATATTTTGCATTGTCTTTGGTAAAGTTGAACTCTAGGCAAACACAGACAAAATGCATATAAGAGAGCTGTTTTACCTGCTAAAGAATTTGTATTTCTTTCCATTCAGTCCTGAGATATATATAGCTCTGCCATAAATCACAACCCCATCTAGCAGGCCAGGAGACCTGATATTTCTCTGCTGCAGTTAGTACTACTAACAGGTGACTGGACCACTAATGACCTCATCACTCTGTTACTCCGCTCTCTGCTCATATCAGCATATCCCTTGCTGGTACATGAGCACTACAGTACAGCTGACTGGCTCTTTGAGCTGCTTGTTCCTTTTCAATTCTAAACTCTGTTGTACTGTTTTAGCAAGAGGCTGATGCCAGACCAAAGTCTGGTACTTACACTACCTGTGTTTAAAGATGAAATCCGGGAATTTAAAAAACTTACCCTTGCAGTGGGGCTACCCCCGTGCTGCAAGGGTTAAGTGCTATTTTGTCTGGGGAGCTCACATAAAGCAAATATACTCACATGATCCTTGGTCCCATTGAGCTGCTAGACTGGTCCCCGAAGCCTCTTCTTTCCTGGATTCCGTCGGTCTAAGGACCACGGATGTCATCATGTCTGATGCAGGTCCGTTAACTTGAATTAGATGTGAGGATGCCAAAGAACATTTCACAAATGGAGCGAAGGGGGGAGAGAGGTGAGTGCCGACCGCTAGGGGACAGAGGATCAGGTGAGTATATCTGCTTTATTTTAGTCCCCTCCCCCTAGACAAAACCAGTTCTAAATCCTTAGATTGGTAAGTTTTTTTTTGTTTTTTTTAAATTACTGGAGTTCTTTTTCAAAAGTTAAACTCACAGAGTTATTCACAAAAGGGTGAAGAGCTTGGACAAGGCAGGAGAAGTGAACAATCTAGGACAACATAGCTGAACTGGAAAGTGAGCTGAATTGGAGAATTTTTCCAAATCAGATTGTTCACTTCTCCTGCCTTCTCCAAACCCTTCACCCTTTAGTGAATAACCCTGTTAATGTTGTAGTAAGGAATACAGAGCTGAATCAATTTGTATATTTTATATCATCTGCCTGGAGTTCACCTTTAAACATAAAAGGTTCTGCAACAGCTGGAGAGTGGACATTTCAAAATGGATGTCAGTTTGATACAGGCAGTTATATATTGTAGTGAGACATTTGGAAAGTAGAATTTTACTTTTGTGTCTGCCCATCACACTCTGAAGCCCGTGACACACTGCATGTGAAGCCGTGCATAGCAAAGCAAAGCTGCTAGTGCCTAGCAGCTTTGCTTTGCTACGCACGGCTTCACATGCAGTGTGCATGCGAATGTCCGTGCTGGACATTCGCATGCAGTGTGTGAGAGCTCACATAGCGGAACATGCGGAGATGAAAGACTTCATCTTCAGCCAATCAGCTCACTTGTATCAACTTAATGGGATTTGCGTCCTGACGTGTGTGTTTATACGCGCAAGCCGATTGGCTGAAGATGACATTTTTCATCTCCGCTATGCAAGCCGATGTGCCGGAAAGAAAATTGCAGGACCCACTACACGTGAAGGTCCGCGTGCCACCACTTCCCTGTGCTCCGCGCTGCTTTGTGTGCAGTGTGTCACGGTCTTTATGGTCAAATCATAGGTGAAATATATCAAATCAGTGAGCACAGTAATTCCACCTAGATGATTGTTTCGGCCTGAACAAATAAATATTGGCCACATACTGCAATTCTGCCGCCAGTGTTGTATTACCTGCCTTATATCTCATGTGTAGGCTTTTTAAAAATCAGTCACACCAATAGTGGGTAAATTCCTGGGTACTGCTTCCAACCTTGATAACAGTCCTGACTGAAATCAGGAGTGATCCACCTGTTGTGATGAATACTTTGAAAGGTCTGATCTTGTCAGAATTTATACCAAGCACGGGTCATACAAGAAGAGTTTATTTTATTTTTTTGATTAGCCATCACCTTTCAAAGAGTTTCTCATCTGGCCTGCACATCCACCGTCCAGGGTGTGTGGGAAATGTTTTTTCTTTGGCAGTACCACATGCCATTAGCTTATCTCTGTGTAATCAGCAGAGAACAGTAGTAAATCAGCTAAAATGTTCCACCCTTTCACACTTCTGAAGCAGTGATGATGAACCCCCATGGTCCTCTGTTACAATCATTAGCTTTCTATTTTTGGGGACATTGTTGTACAGTAGACCCATTGCATGTTATTGTTTCCTCTTGTTCAGCCTCATTGAATGATGATCACTTGGACCGGTATAACGGAGGAGTATGATCAGCTTCTGTTTTATCTTTAATTCATTATGTAAGATGAGAATGGCTATTTGCTGTTTTTCCTACTTCATTTAAGACTTCTGTTGCCTGATAGAGTGATTGCAGTTTAGAATTTTGTTTAATAGTTATATGTGGTTATATGAGTGACTTAATGCTCATGTTATCAAACTTGACTTATTCATTCTTTACTATTGAAATGATAGCTTGGTATAACGATGCGCAAACTAAGAGAAAAGTGCGATTTGATACAAGAAGGGGGAAGGTTAACTGACCCATCCATAGACAAACGTATGGATTTTCATTTCAATGCTATCCTGGATGTCGTGGCAGAATGGCGTAAAGATAAGGGTCAGCAACAAGACGTTCCACTTGGAGGTATCTATTCACACAATATGTTTTATACAGTCTCAGTAAATACTAAGATCATACCAAAGGTTGTCCATCAACATGCTGATTTTTGACCAAGAAAAGGCATTTGCATCCTAGACATAATTACAGATCATTGTTGCATAGAGGAACTGCTCTCAACTTTCTTATGTAATCATTAGTCCTTGGATATCTGCCAGGCAGGATAGAAAATCTGATGACCGCATAACTGACTCTGTGCAATGTGTATCATACAGGTTTACTTGCTGTTTTCCTATGAAATGATACAGACATTTAGGGAGGGGTGCTGACTGCAATATTCACAGTCCAGTGTAGGCACTTTAAGCTAATGCAGCATACCTCTTCATTGCTAGGGATATATATTTTGTATGTACTGTAGATGATAATAAGGTATTATGTACATTTTACATGTTACTGTTCTTCCATGTAATATGTACACTTCTTTACTTCTTTATTAGATAAGATACAAGAGATCTACAAAGCATTCATTCAGGAATCTGGAATCCAGTTCACCGATGTAGAAGAAAAGGTCTTACAGTTCCATCTTGGAAATCTGGAATATGCTTGTGGAAGCAATTTACATAATGTGAGTTCTTGTTCACTTTGCATATCTGTATGAAATGAAGTAAAATACCGAATTGTCTTCTATTGTATGTTGTGAAGCTGTCCATTTACCTTTGATTTATTTGACTTCTTTCTAAAGTATCTCTAAGCTTAACACATTATATTTACATCATGGCAATCTTTACCCACTGTTAAGTATGCCATTTATGTAAAAAGGTAACATAGCATGTATAACGTACCTTTTTGCTTTAGTTTTCCAGTGGTCTTGTGACCACTGTGTCTTCTCTTTTCCACTTAGCTCTGGGGGTTGTGGGTTAACCAACAAAGACGCTCAGCACCTTGTGCTAACGTCACAGTTCTCAAGAGCTCTCCATGGAGACAGCCAAAAGTGTTCCTACAATCTTGACCTCCTTCTTCTCCCTACTGAATAATGTTGTCCATCAGACTGAATGGACCAAAAGCGGACAGGATCTGTGGGGTAGAGCTTGATTTTACAGGGAGGAAGGCCTGGAGACACGCTCTACAGAGTACAGGATGCCGAACACTGATAATCCCACCTCAACCTAACCACCGAACCATCACAATTCATCCCCACACAGCTACCTCCTCATGGATCACATGCCCCTCCCTTTTAGATTGTAAGCCCTCAGGGGCAGGGCCCTCCTTACCATCATGTATTGTGATCGTAATGTATTCCTTAAATTGTAAGGTGCTGCGCAAACTGTTGGCGCTATATAAATCCTGTATAATAGGAAGGGTAAACTGACCATGCAGAAATTGCATTCACAGCATTCTGTAACACCAAGAGGGAACGGCTGATGCAAAAACTGACTGTGCTTGGCATGGTCAGATTCCTACAGCAAAGAAGAAGTACTGATAGGGTCGATAGTTATCACTAAGAAAAGAAAAAAGAAAGCTTGAACAGACTACTGGTATACACTGTAAATGTAGGGGTGACATACACTTTTACCTTATACACACTGGGGGGAATTTATCAAAACTAGAGCAGAAGAATCTGGAGCAGTTGCCGGTGGCAACTAATCAGCTTCTCTCTTCAGTTTGTTCAGCTAAGGTTTAAAAATGAAAGGTGGATGCTGATTGGTTGCCATGCTGCTCCAGATTTTGTCTGCTCCAGTTTTCATAAATTCCCTTCACTGTCTCTGATTTTAGTACAGAGATGTATACCTAGAACACGCACATGCTGCAAATGAGTTAGAAACCCTTACCTGTGCTTGTTCCACTTCAGTAACCTGTAGAATGTAAACCATTGAATCAGCATCACAGCCAGGCAACTACTTTTTTTTTAGGAGAGGCCAGCAATGACAGCCTATACCGTACCTTATTTGTGGCTGTGTGGGTTGTAAAGTAGCCCACTCCCATAATGGACTATAATCACACTTTTAGTTTACTAATTTGTATTGAAGGTATAGTCTTATCATGGGAGTGAGCTTGGAGCTGTGGCTACTTTAGAACACACACAGGGACCAGGGGGAACAAAGTAGCCACCCTCCAGAAGGAAGGACAGTGTCAGCACCAATTCAGAGATGATTTGAGGATCTACAGCTGAGTGATACACAAATAAGATACATTTGTGTTAATAGTTCGGATACCTGAATGCATTTTTAAGATTTAACTCCTGCGTTTAGTGTCACTCTAATACTTCATGTAAGGTGGACAAGCTCTACTGGTTTTGGCAGGGAAACCCAGGAAAAGTCCAAGCAGGTTGGTCCTGCTCTTTTATTCAGCAAGGCAGCAAATAAGCACAGTTTCCATGCAGAATGGCTTTATACAGCAAGTCTATAGGATAAAACAAACAAAACATCTGCTTGTCTGAGCCTCTGACTCAGGTCAGTTCTTGACTAACAAGGTTCCCCAAAACAAACAGACAGTTCCTGTACCTTTTTAGAGTTCTGTCAGCACTCACCCTTTTTACCCAGCAGCACACAGCAGGCAGAGAGTGATCTAAAGCAGCTAACATGTATAAAGGCATGTGGGATACCTAAGACTAATAACGAGGTAAGATGTGGACCTAGGAATGGAGGCTTTATCCCACCCACAGCTTTATAAATACTCTGGGTCCAGGATCCAGAACGTATTAAAATTCTGGTAAAAAAAAGTTTGTTTTCTCTACATCAACGTAAACCCCGGAGCCCTTTACCATGTGTATATAAGAAACCTAAGTGACATATATACATCCATCTCCAATTCTGCCAGTTCCTTACAATCTGCAAAATAATTAGAGCTTAAACCTGTTATTCATTTCCAATGACAGGAAAGTCTACAGTACATATTTTTTTTTTAACTCAACAAATATCAGAGATCCTGCTAAAATGTAGAGATTGAACATATTTAATTGTTCAAGGGTATTCTATAATTCTGAGGACAGTTTGTAGAAGAGACATTTCCCTACTGTGTTGGGATATATGCAAATGATGGAATATAGGTGTGACCTGCAAAAGTACCCCCAATTCCCCCAATAATAAACCTTAGTATACTTAGTCTAGTATACTCCTTCCCCCAGTTTCTGTCTATTTCATTTTGTAGAGAATAAAAAGTGGGTAGAAAATGACCTATTTATTTTTTTGTTATTTATTAATTTAAAACATGCTTGTGACATCATTTAGCAATCCAGGTTATGGAGCATTCCATTAAAAAAATTAGAAAAGAAAAAACACAGATTTGCTGTGTATTTTTGAAGACTGTAAGTGATTTCCACTTTAAATATATTCCCCAATTTTTTTTTTTTCCTTTTCAGGTATCTGCTCGTTCTTGGGACCACAATGAATTCTTTGCTCAGTTTTCTGGAGATCACACAATGTTAACTGCTGGGTACTCAGCAATAATGGAGAAATTGGCTGAAGGACTTAATATTCGACTCAGGTCACCTGTAAGTTCTAAAGAGAAAATATATATATATATATATATATTATATTACAAGGATTTTAGCAAACCTTATTGAAGAGTAGCTTTCTCTGGATAGAAGGTTGCATTTGTAGTTATTGGAGCGCACAGTTCTAGCACTAGTACTAGTATCAGTGGAGATTTGTGAGAATTCATCCTGCAACTGATGAAGTGTGTTGAGTATATAGAAGTAATTTGTTTAATGTTATGTAATTTAAAGCCATCTCCAGGAGAAAAGCCCCACTGCAAGGGTTAACTCAGGGGTCTCAAACTCAATTCACTTAGGGTCCACTAGACACATTTTCTTCTATCATGGGGGCTGCTTGCCAAATTTCATAAAATGTCATACTTCAAAACAAAATTTAACTCTATACAGTACCAGTTTTAATGTCTGCGTGTGTTTACAATGTCAGTATATGTGTTTGTGATGGTTTCTTTGTATGCAATGTAACAATTTTTTTGTGATGGTTTGTGTGTATTGTCAGGATTTCTGAGTGATGTGGGTATGTGTGTTAATGTTTCTGTGTGTGTCATATCAGTATTTATAAGGGATGCACTGATACGGTTTTTTTCGGTATCAAGTACCAATATTTTTTCTTCGGTACTCGCAGATACCGAGCACTGATACTGGTGCCGTGTGCCCCGATTATCTGGAAGTCGGGCGGCGGATCATGACCCATCACCTGGCTTCCTGACTGCCTGGCAAGCCGGTGTTTTATCGAAAAAACACCGGTTTCACTTGCCTAGGCTGCCTGGCTTCCTGACCAATCAGGAAGCCGGGCGGCGGGTCATGAGGTGTCGTCTGGCTTCCTGATTGATCAGGAAGCCAGGCTGCCTAGCAACTGAGCTCTGAAACACTGGGTGCTGGCACCACCAGGAGCAGCTATGCGGTCTGCATCCAACAGAGACTGGTGCCTGCAGTCTCTTCCCCCTCCGCTCTGGTGGTCTGAGGCCTGCTGACGTCATATGGGAGAGAGGTGAGCACCAGCTGCTGGGGAAGATTGGATCAGGTAAGTGAAAGTAATTTACAGATCCCCTGGACATAAACGAGCAGGTAACCCTTGCAGGACAGGGGTGTGGAAATTTTTGAAAAAACGACTTGTCCAAGGACTAAAGCGGGGGCCGAATCTACTTGTCCCTCATGACAATCTACTTGTCCTGATACAAAAATTTATTTTTTTAACCAAAACCGTATTTAGTAGTGCTTAGAAGCACTTCTCATTGGTCAGTGCCGTCAGGTGACTACGTTGACCAACGAGTGCTTGCAATTTGCGAGTGAAATTCAGAATACATGGAACAGGTACAGATAGTACACCCGTACTGGTGGACGGGAAGGACCGTTCGCCGAAAGGTAAGCATCGTGTGCGGTTGCATACAGCGGTTGCATCCGCATGTATGGGGTTACATCAGCGTGGCAATTGCTGAAAAAAAGGTAGATGTACCTATTTTCACAACATGCACCGCGCAGTGTTTTCAACCGCGATCGTGTGGGATCGCCCGGGCGGTATTGCGGCAGGAAAACGCGCAATCTGCCTGGCACGAGTCGGGTGTCATTAGAAAATAATGGCACTGACAGCACGATCGGCAATGGTGTGCGATTCCGTGACCACCCAGCACAGCGCTCCGTCCCCGCCCCCCGCTCTTGGCGCTCCACACCCCCCGCTCGCAGCGCCGATCTCGACGCTCATTTAAGAAGAAAAAAACCAGCCCTGCTACTTGTCCGTAGCAAGGCTAAGATAGTGAAAAAAACACTTGCCCGGCGCTCGGAACTACATGTCCCGGGCGTCGGGCGATACGAATTCCACACCCCTGCAGGAGAAACCTTACTTTAAGGGATTCGGAGGATAGTTTTATTCAAAGTGCTAGGTTTGGTGGAAAGAGGTAAGGACTCTCTTCAGGGGTTAGGTTAAGTGTAAGCCACATCATAGTTGTTTTTTTAGAAACATTAGTCAGAATCTGAGGTTGTATTTACCTAATTTTAAGACCAGGTGATTTTCTTTATTATGCCCTGATACTTAAAACCATAGAATTCAAAGATTGTGTACTATCTTTCTTACACAACCGTATGTGAGTACATAGCATAACATCAAGCTCTTGTTTATGTCCTACAGGTCAGAAAGATTGATTACACCGGTCCAGAAGTTAGTTTAACAACATCAGATGGGAAGACATACAGTGCACAAAAGGTAATGGTATCAGTGTGCTCAATGTTTTGTTATCTGTAGTTCTAGTAAGGTTTTGGGGTTGTGTTATAGTGTTTATTCGTAAAGATAAAATGCTCCTGTTATCATAAAATTACATTGTTTAATGCTTGTGTTATGTATATAGCATTTCGCAGAAATTACTATGTGCTGTAAAAAACAAACCTCATGGCAAATCACACAAGGACTATAGACTTGTGACTCTTGTTTTGATTGCTAGTTGGGAAATACTTGTTTTCTCCAGAACAGCGCTTTATTGGTTTTAATCTCACAATCATTGTGGAGAGCTTGGTATTGTGCACACTCATCTTTTCAAATAAAGTAAACTACGGATGCACCAAAATTTTGGCCACCAAATCATATCGGCCGAAAATGGCACTTTGGGCAAAGATTGAGAGTCCTTAATCTCTTTTTTCGTTCAAAAGGTTTTTTATTTGTTTTAAACACAAAGAAAGATTATTACAATAGCACATTCAATGTGGTTTTCCATGGTGTATCAAAAGAACATACGACATTCAGTTGTTCATAATAAAATGCTACAATCAGATTAGGTAATCCAGAAGGACATAACGTAAACTGCGTAGGTACAAAAACATTGTGGTAAGAGACTATAAGGTTCAAAGGATAAATATCCTCAGTGGGGTTACCGCTTTGTTAACCCCGAGCCACACTCGGGAATACCAATGGATATGGGCGGAAATACGCCCCAAAAAAAGCTCTTGTACTAGTTCGGGAGTTGGACGTTTCAACGCGTTTCGATGCGCTGAAATACGCCCAGTTGGGAACCATGCCCATAGGAAATTATGGGATTTTACTGGCTGAGCGTTTTTCAGCTCTTCGATCGGCGCTGAAAAACGCCCAGGTGTAAACCAGCACTTAACAGTTTAGAAAAAATAAATAAAAATAAAATATTTTAAAAAATGTAAAAAGGTTAGAAAAAAATAAATATTTGGTTTTGGCCTGAAATTTTTTTTTTTTTCCGGTTTCGGTCTCAAAATTTCATTTCGGTGAACCTCTAAAGTAAACCTTTACTGTAAGAAACATTGAGGCAGCCGTTGCTGATCCCTTAAAATGCTAAATGCCTAGGTATTATACTGACTCTCTGGCTCCACTTTAATGTTTTACTAATCCAGATAAGTATACAGATCAGTAAGGTCAGAGGTCTTTATCTGCATGCTTGGGGAAGCATGACAGTCCGTAAACTAGCCTTTGCAGAATGGGAAGTCATCAGTGACGGCATCCATGTTTCTTTCTGGAATGGTTTCCTTTAACTGCCTCCGGGCCGGCCGTAGTAGAAAAACGGCCGGCCCGGAGCTCTCTAGATCTGAGCGGGCGTCTCTAGACGTCCGCTCAGACAGCGGCGCGCGCGAGCGGGTAATTGCCGTTTTTTAAAAACAGGCAGCGATGCCTGATACCATACAAGCGATCCGCCGGCTTTAGAGCCGGCGGATCGCGTGTATGGTGTGCCGATCGGTGCCCCCCTCCACTGCCGTACAACACCTGGTCTTGGATTGGTTAACTAGACTAGTACAGAAATATGGGAGCAGCCATTGCAGACTTGTGCAGAAGTTTTATCTTTCTGGTTTTAATGCTTAAGGCTGGGTTCACACCTAGGTGTATCGAATATGCGCATTTGTCGCGATACCGCGGTAAAAAAACGCACGTTTCCGAGGGCTACCTGGCTGTATCCCAATGGATAGGCGCGGCAAATACGCCCCAAAGAAGCTCCTGTACTTCTTTGGGCGTAGGGCGTTTTGTAGCGCGTTCATACGGCATTTAATACGCCCGGGTGTGAACCATACCCATGGGATTTCGGTGTTTGAGCGTTTTGCAGAGCGTAGGAACGCGCTACAAAACGCCCAGGTGTGAACGGGGCCTTATTGAGTCACTGAGCAGGAACAAGCATGCAGCCAGTGACATATGAACTCCATCAATATGAGAGGCTTTTTATTCCCATATTTTGTATCTGATATATTCCCTTTAAAATCAGAATTTAGTGACAGCAGAATTATTCTAAGTCATTTGGAACTTTCATTGGTGATCTTTTGTAAGTCCGCAGTTTTTATGGCAAATCCGGTATAATCAATTCTGTATAATAATATACTATCTGAAGTTTGACATTTGAGTTTGATTATATTTACTCTACAAATGAACTGTATTTGTGCAGGTTTTGGTCACAGCACCCCTGGCAATCCTTCAGAAAAATGTTATTCAGTTTAATCCTCCTTTACCGGAGAAAAAGGTGAAGGCCATCAACAGTCTAGGAGCTGGGGTTATTGAAAAGGTAAAGTGCTTACCAGGGAAATGATTCTGAAATGTGTTTGGCTGAATTAAGGTTATTTGTGTCGTTAACAGATCAGGACTTCAGTTGTGGATAAAAGAAGACCTCATTGATGTGATTTACATAGGGTTGAACAGCAGGCAATCGCCAAAGCTGGCCTTAGATATTGTGTTGTGGTTAGACGTGTAGCCACTGCCTAATGCTTTTTGGGTTTTTTAAGTGTATTTTAAAGCCAAAATATTTTTTCAGTTAAGTAGGGTATAGTTAAAGCTGAACTGTGGGCTGGAAAAAAAAATCACCCCTTTCCCTACCCCCTGCACTGCAACGGTTAAATGCTGGTTTTTGCCTAGGGGTAGAAGAGTAGGAAGTAATGCTTTTCTTATCCCCCACTCCAGCAGGCTCCCTCCATCTGTGTGCCTAGTCCCACAGAGAATCCTCTTTAAGGCACTCCCGGCCATGGTTGCTCTCCTGCCTCCTCCACATACAATGCATGGCTAATAGCCCGGAGCGTTAAGGAGAAGAGGAGAGTGCTGGAGCGGGGAATAAGGTAAATAATGCAGCCTCTTCATCACACCCCTAGACCTAACAAGCATTTACCCCTTGCAGTGCAGGGGGCCGGGGATGTTTGGAAATTGTTTTATTAGTAATAAAGAAATTTGGTTCACCCGTGCCGCATGAAGCACAGAGCCTTACTTTTTTTAATAGGAGCACAACAGGATCTCTTTATTTTCTGTCTGTGATTGAAATCTCCTACAGCCCAGTCCGAAACATGCACGTAGGGTGGGAGAGCAAAGTAGGAAACCTAGGCAGTTTTGTTTTTCCTTTAGACTAGGTTCACACTGCTCCATGTGCATGCAGTACACGTGGTAATGCATATGCGTAAGTGTGAATGGACACATATAGTTTTACTTTTCCTTTCATGCTAAACCGCATTGCTTAGATGTAAACCATGAACAGATGTAACAAAGGAATAGTGCACTACAATGGGGTAACAACTTATAGGCACAGGCTATAACAAACAGTGTGCAAGCTCTATGTTAATCAGGGCGAGGAACCCTGTGGTGTAAGACATAAAACAAAATGAACAAGAGTGCTACAACTGTTGGTGTGGTAAAGACTCACGTTTGGGCTGTTTGCCAAGTCTTGAGGGGGAAGAAAACCCCACTGGTGTCCTTGTTCAGATGTGAACTGGCAGATGAGGTGGAAACAGTGAGTGCCTACGTGGACAGTGACTGGTGTTGAGAGCGAACTCAGCTGGCCAGGCTGAGCCGTTGCGGCAGACTGACAGCACACAGATGCCGTCAGAGTGTCAGGTGTCTCTGGAGACAGGGCGCTCCTACCAAGCTGCGGCGGTGTGAGTCCGCGGTGTCCTGCCGTGTAGTCACTATGTAACGGTGACGAGGGGAACTGAAGTAGTCTTTGCAAAGGGATCTCTGTGGAGGCGGCTACGCGTTTCGAGGCTCAGCCTCTTTGTCAAGCCGGGAATAGAAGTGAGAACCTTCTATTCCCGGCTTGACAAAGAGGCGTAGCCGCCTCCACAGAGATCCCTTTGTAAAGACTACTTCAGTTCCCCTCGTCACTGTTACATAGTGACTACACAGCACGACACCTTCTCACTTCTATTCCCGACTTGACAAAGAGGCTGAGCCTCGAAACGCGTAGCCACCTCCACAAAGATCTTATTGCAAAGACTACTTCAGTTCCCCTCATCACCGTTACATAGTGACTACACGGCACGACACCGCAGACTCAGCGCCACAGCTCCGTAGGAGCGCCCTGTCTCCAGAGACACCTGACACTCTGACGGCATCTGTGTGCTGTCAGTCTGCCGCAACAGCTCAGCCTGGCCAGCTGAGTTCGTGTAGGGGACAGCACCCGCTCTCAACACCAGTCACTGTCCATGTAGGCACTCACTGTTTCCACCTCATCTGCCGGTTCACATCTGAACAAGGACACCAGTGGGGTTTTCTTCCCCCTCAAGACTTGGCAAACAGCCCAAACGTGAGTCTTTACCACACCGACAGTTGTAGCGCTCTTGTTCATTTTGTTTTATGTCTTAGATGTAAACCAGCCACATAGGTAATGAAGGGATTTCTACCTGCAGTGCATCAACATGCAGCAAAATGCATGATTATGGGCAATTATTAATAAGCCCTTCTTGACTATAATTAAGAAAATATATACAAAGCCATTATACATTCTCAAAATGCCTATAAAGGACAAAGGGAGAACTTGCAGACAACTCTAACAGTGGCCTCATCCCAGGGAAATCATATTAAATGGTTACAAATTCTATCTAACCCAGCTAAATGCAGGTTCCTACAACGCTTATTTGTCATTGTCTGTTGTAATCTTCTGATGGCTAAGTGACTTGGTCAGGCAATAGGCATCTTGCGTGTCTGGGTATTTTTAGTCCAGACAAAGTTTTTATTTTCTATGAAGGCATGATGGAACAGGTTTTTCAAGATGTCTGCAGACTGATTGTTATTGTTCAGGGAACATTTGTAGCAATAAAACAGTTGCACCTCGTGCCTATAGTACATCATGTACTGTACATCACGGCAGGTGACCATACATGTGAAATGTTGAATGGTGTAAACGTTTCCTCTAGTTTGAAAAATAATGGTGATAAATTGTAAATCTACACTTCATTTGCATTTTTTGTTACTATTGATCTGCTGTTGTTTACCCAGCCACATACACTTTCCATTTATCCCACATCATGCATTGGTTTTCATGTTGAGCACCCGGCAGGTTCTTAGTATTGTTGGCATTGAGAACAAATAGAAAAGCAAAGTGAGCCTCCCCCGACCCCTAACATGTAGCTCTTCCATCACCCAAGCTCAAGAACTATCATGCAAATGCTTGTAGTGACTTTCTATTTACATTAAATGTTTGCAGTGACCTGTTTTATAGGTTGTATGGTTCTTTAATGGTTATTGTGTGAGCTTTTAAATGTAATCTAGACCTTTGTATATTTTCTCTGCAGATTGCCGTGCAATTTCCTTATAGGTTTTGGGACAGTAAGATTCAAGGAGCCGACTTTTTTGGTCATATCCCTCCTGATTCTAGTAAACGTGGTCTTTTTGGGGTGTTTTATGACATGGATCCACAGGTACCAATAGTTAATAGAGTGTGTCTGTATAATGTATGCTTTTTTTTTAGGATGCTTCCCATGCCTTTATTTTTTCTGCTGTGTATTAAATTCAGGGTAAACATGCTGTCCTGATGTCTGTCATTACGGGAGATGCAGTGCTTACCATTAAGGATATGGATGATAAGCAAGTAATGAAGCAGTGCATGGTAGTCCTCAGAGAGATATTTAAAGAACAGGTGAGATGAACAATCAGGACTGAGTAGGTGGTTTAAAGTGCATTGCTGCAGTTAAATTCACTGTAATTTCAGGTCTAACGTTACAATGCAAAACGTGCTACAGATTTGAGTTGTGTGAGGGCTACATAACATAATGAAGCCTGATAAACTATTGGTTCCATATGAATGTCCCATCACACACCTGACTGAAACTCAGCAGAAAGGTTTAAGAGTATGGGGGAGTGGCCATTGGTTTTAGTTATTAAGTTGTTGGTGAGTTTTAGCATTGCCGTTTCGGTGAAGTGTTGTGGCCAAAAGCCAGATTGTAAGGGGTCGAGATGGTTTTTAACAAGGAGGTGATGTCTCAGATGGTTGCAGACTAGGCATTCTAGAAGTTTGGAGGTAAATAAGAGCAAGGAGATGGGTCTTAATTTGTTCAGACTAGAGGAGTCCAGCAAGGACTTTTTAAGCATAGAGGTGACCAGCGTGTATTTTAGAGGGGTGGGGAAGATGCCATTATTGTGGGTGAGATTGAAGATGTGAGTTAGAGGGCATAGAATAGATTAAGTGGGTGAACGGAGTAGTGATGAGGGGATGAACTCCAGGAGGCAAGTGGTTAGGTGGGCATCAGACAAAACTATAGCAACCTTCTTTGTGGTAACATGGTCAAAGGAGGAAAGTAGAGAATGTGGTGGGAGACATGGTATATTAGGTGGGGGAGATCTCATCATAAATTGCAACACTCTTCTTTTTTAAATGATTGATGATGTGATAGTTTATTTGAAATGCATTGCGCCACAATCAGATGTGCCGTACAAGACCTTTGATTCATCTTCAACCACCATTCATAGTTTATTGGGTCCAATGTCTTTGGCACAAATGTCATTTTGCATCCTAAGAGGTGTAGCTTGACACTTGGTGCAACACGAATTTGCAAAAGCAAGAGGGAAAAAGGAAAACAATACATTTCTGATCTGAATGCAGGAAACTGAAATGTTTGCAATGTTACGTTGTTCATATCTCCCATTGCTGTTTCCCCTGGAGTACAGCTATGCAAGCTGTGTTTACCTGTGCACTGTTCTTTTCATGATGCAGGAAGTACCAGTCCCAGTAAAATACTTTGTTACACGGTGGGGTAAAGACCCTTGGGCACAGATGGCATATAGTTATGTAAAGACTGGTGGAAGTGGAGAAGCTTATGACATAATAGCTGAAGATATCCAGGGGAAAATATTTTTTGCAGGCGAGGTAAGACCCTAAATTACTTGTACAATGTTTATTTTGTCATAAAATATCTCAGATCTGAGGTTTATTACTGGTTTCAAACATTGTGCAGGAGATTTCTACAAAATTTGCCGTCTCTCTAGAAAGGTATGTTCCATGTTATTAAACTGAACTCCAAGCTGATGTAGAAACCACCATTTAATCCATATTATATGATCATATTTTACACTGCTAGTACAATTACAATCTCTTTTTTTACTTTAGCTTTATCAGCTTTTATACGGCACACAACACAATGGGAAAAGGAGCAGCAGCACTATAAGCCAGCCAGACTGTATTGCATTGTCAAGAATTATGACCTCTTAAACATGTTGATAGTTCTCCATTTTGTGATTAGCAGGCTGGGGGTGGGTCAGGGTGGCCAAGCTGTATTGTTTAACTGAGAAAAGTGAAGTCACAGGCTGGCTATCCTATCTGCGATGATCTGATCACAACACTGGCTCAACAATCTTTTGGCCAATAAGACATATTAACTAGAATAAAACTATGTATTTAGCTGTATTTCAAATCTATGATAAACTCCAAAAGATGCGTGTAGAGAGGTCTAGCCTTCTACAGAAAGAATTTAGATTGTCTTCCCATTTAGATAGTTCTGTATTTTGTTATGACATTATAAAGGTGTTGTAAAGATATGCCTTATCATGTTGAACAAGAACAATAAGAACAAACGTCTCTTATTTCTTTTGCATACATTGAGGGGCACAGGAAGCCTGTCACCTTTGGGTTATACTGCTGCCTTCATAAGTTTTGGACACTAGTACGCTAGCTCAAGATAACCCCTCCTACTACCAGCATGCCTTTTTTGCTAGTGTTCTGGGAGGATGGACATCTTTTTAGTCATTTCTGCTGTGTAAAAGACTAACCTAATTTTAGCACCTTTTTAGCACTCTTCAACATCTTTATCTTCAATCAGTACTCTTCTCTACAGAGCTGCTGGAGCTGGTGTCGCTGATTGCAGCTAAGTGGCGCAGCCATTCTCAGAATGGCTTTGGAGTGCCAAATCTGTGCCTCGCTGTACTAGACATTGCAGGGATAGCGTAGAAGTGAGCTTTGGGCACTGGGTTCTGCAGAAGGTGTTTTCCAGACTGTATTCTGATAAAAGTTAGCCACAGGGTGCTCTTCTGGTCCAAAGCCTTTGGCATTGCCTCAGTGCTTTCCCCGTGTCTGAATACTCGCTTTGTTTGTACACCAGTCAAAGCAATGGGAGCTACCTCATGTACATAGTTTACTGGACACCTTTAAAATTCCACTTGTCATCTCCGGTCATCCAACCCTCACCTTCTACCAGCTGTCTGGGCTTCATGAGTACCTAAGACCTTGCCTTGTACCTTGGTCGCGAATGTATGTGGCAGTAAGGCCCCCCCCAGCTCACACTCTACTAATAGCTCCAGGGCTGCTTGCATTCTGCCTAATGATATGACTGAAGTCTGCAGCATGGAATCCTATTGCCCTCCTAGAGTCTATTCCATCTTTGGAGTCTTCTTTAGCTTTGCATGGTGTGGCTAGTTCCCCTACCCTCTCTGTTCAGGTTTTTACTACAGCTATGCAAGACGTTATGGCCCAAATCACCCAATTATTTGCTAACTCTGACTGAAGAGGACACAATCACGCTCCTATCCCTTCTGCCTTAGAGTCTGTATCTAATCTACCTGAGCCATCAGCTTCTGTGTTTACCTGACAAGCTTGCCTTTGAGGAGTCAGGGTTTTCTACCATTACTCCCAAATGAAAAGAGACTATTTTGGCTCTAATTAATGCAGTACGCACCACTCTAAAATAAGAGGATCAGTCTGTTCTACAAGTTCTGTTCCCAGTTTTGGGTCCTTTAGAAACCGTAATCACACCTAAAATATAGGTGTAAAACGTCAAACACTTTCCAAGTGCACCTGCTGTTCCAAGTCTTCCTCTACAGCAGTGGTTCTCAACCTTCCTAGGGCCGGGACCCCTTGGTAACATTTGCCAAGTTGTGGTGACCCCCAACGGTAAAATTTAGGGTTGACGTGGTTGCTGCAGCGACATCTGGCGGTGTGGCGGGATAACTGACACTGCTGCTCTAGGAGAGGGCTGAGGAGGACTCTCACCTAGCACAGCAGAAATCACACAGCGACCCCACAGGTTGAGAACCGCTGTTGTAACAGCTAAAATGGCAAACCATATAACACAAGCCGAGGGTGTCAGCTTATATTATTAATAATAATGATAATAAAAGGTTTATGTTTTCTTTTAGAAAAAAATTACTATTATTTTTATGATTATTATTTATTATTAGAGGGGGTGACACCAAAATGACTGTCAGTCATATTGGTGTCACCGCCTCCACTGGTGGCATCCGGGTGCGGGCTGCACCCCAAAACACACACACACTGACAAACACAGTGACACACACACACACACACTGACAAACACAGTGACACACACACACACTGACAAACACAGTGACACACACACACACACACACTGAAAAAACAGTGACACACACACACTGACAAACACACTGACACACACACACTGACAAACACACTGACACACACACACATACAATTACACACTTACATACAATTACACACTTACATACAATGACACACACATACACACACACAGACTAGTACAGCACACACTTATCTTTTTGTCAATCTTTCTGTGCCTGTTGTCAGTGAACTTGTTTTATTCATAATTTCTTTTCCTTGTTTAATAAAATATAAGAAATCCACTATAAAATCCAGATTCATTAGCAATATGATTAAAGTTGGTATACAGGAGCTACAACAACATTAAATGTACAGTACTGTGTAAAAGTTTTAGGCAGGTGTGAAAACATGCTGTGAAGTAAGAATGCTTTTAGAAAAAAGGGTTAATAGTTTGAAGGAACTCAGCAGGTAGGTTGTTCCAAACATCTTGGAGAACTAACTTAAGAACTTCTGTGGATGTAGGCTGCCTCAGATCCTCCTGTCTCCATGTAATCCCAGACAGACTTGATGCTGTTGAGGTCAGGGCTCCGTGGGGCCAAACTATCACTTCCAGGACTCCTTTGTACTTCTTTATGAAGACAGTTCTTAATGGCATTGGCTGTATGTTTGGGGTCATTGTATTGCTGCAGAATAAATTTGGGGCCAATCACACGCCTCCCTGATGGTATGGCATGATGGATAAGTATCTGCTGGTATTGCTCAGCATTGAGGACACCATTGATCCTGACCAAATCTCCAGCTCACTAGGCAGAAATGCATCCCCAGGCTTGCAAGGAACCTCCACCATGCTTCACTGTTGCTGCAGAGGCTCATTATTGTACCGCTCTCCAGCCCATCGGCGAACAAACTGCCTCCTGCTACAGCCAAGTATTTCAAATTTTGACTCATCAGTCCAGAGCACATGCTGCCATTTTTCTGCGGCCTTGCTGCCACAAAGCCATACTTCTGACGTGGAAACAAGGCTAAGCGACTCAACTATGTACAAAAACGTAGGTACTGTGGTGCAGAAAAATGGCAGGCAGATATTTCGCCATCATGCCATACCATTAGGGAGGTGTGTGATTGACCCCAAATTTATTCTGCAGCAGGACAACAACCCCCAAACATACAGCCAATGCCATTACGAACTGTCTTCAGCGTAAAGAAGAACAAGGAGTCCAAAGGATTGTTTGGCCCACATCATCGAGTCTGTCTGGGATTACATGGAGAGACAAGGCTTTGAGGCAGCCTACAGACACAGAAGATCTGCGGTTATTTCTCCAAGATGCCTGGAACAACCTACCTGCCACGTTCCTTCAAAAGCCATGTACAAGTGTACCTAGAAGAATTGATGCTGTTTTGAAGGCAAAGGGTGGTCACACCAAATATTGATTTGGATTTCTCTTCTGTTCATTTACTTTCCATTTTGTTCATTTCTAAAATCAAATTTTTAACACTTTTTTTGTGTGAAAGCATTCTTACTTCACAGCATTTTTCACACCTGCCTAAAACCTTTGCACAGTACTATATGTAAGTTCATGAAAAGTCAAAATTGAGTGTTTTTGCAATATTGAGTTTAGAGTCTAATATAGAATTTGATTTCTCTTTAACCCCTTCGTGACTGACGACGTACAGTGTACGTCGCCAGCATCGGGGCTGTTTAAATTGTTGCAGCCCTAGTTTTGGGGCATTTAATTAAATTTTTCACTAAATATTGGGGTTTAATAAGGAGTTGCGCTAATATTGCGCAACATAAAAATTTGCAACTACCACCATTTTATTCTATAGGGTCTTGGCATTCAGAAAATATATAATGTTGGGGGGTTTTAAGTAATTTTCAGGCCTTAAATGTGGAATATAACATGGGTACAAAAAAATGAGAAAAAGGCCTCAGTCATGAAGGGGTTAAGAGTTGTCTATCTTGGCTAATTGTTTAGCTGCATCAAAGTGCACTGAATTAAAACCAGACTTTTAAAGCTGACATGCTTGTATTTGTGCTTTTTTTATAGGCTACAAATCGCCATTTCCCACAGACTGTAACTGGAGCTTATCTAAGTGGTGTGCGAGAGGCGAGCAAAATCACAGTTTTTTAAACTGGACTCACTTTTCCACTCCTTTTTCTATTTTTATATATATTTTTGAAGAAACCGCTCAAGCTGCGTTTTTACCAGCAACATTTGTTTACAACATTGGTTATTTTATTCTTTGCGTACTTTTGAAATCTCTGTACTGCACATTATGGCTGAGCATTGGCCACCGGACAATGCGGATCATGCACTTAAAGACAAAAGTGGTCCTGAGAACAAAAAGAACATTATGGTGTTGTGTGTGTTTGATGTCAGAAGATTACTGAAAGAGACAGCCAATAGGCTTCTGCGTTATTGGTCATCAAGAAATTGGAGAAGACCCACAACGGAAGCCTAGTATTTTTTTTTCTTTTCAAATGCCCTTAATTTATTGTTATTATTATTACAGGGTCTGTTTCAATTAAGTTTTACATACTGTATTTGATAACCAAGCATTGCTTTATTTTTCCCGTTATGTTTTTATAGGTTGAATGCTATATATACTTGGAACCCTTAAATTCCAAATGTATATGTCTCAAGGCTAAGAGAAAAACATTACACAGTATTTTATTAAAGTGACATTAAACCCTCAGATTTAACATAAACCAATACTGTAATGTGTGCCTTACTGTAATCCATGGTAGGTTCCCTTCTCTTTGCTGCTCTTCCTTTTAAATCCTCATATCTTCTCATGCTGGAGGAGAACTTCCCTTTGCAGCTGAGTGCCTCTTCCTGTAGTGCTGGCTCAGGTTGTGAACCTACATACAGACACCATGTATCCATTTCAGAGACAAGACAGTCTGCTGCAAAACTGAAGTTCTGCCCAGCATGAGAAGAGATACGGATTTAAAAGAAAGAGCAGCAAAGAGAAGGGAAACTACCATGGATTACAGTAAGGCACACATTACAGTATTGGTTTATGTTAAAAAATCTGAGGGTTTAATGTCACTTTAAGTTATGTAAAAACATTTATCTTTGGTGTTGTGGCACCAGTAAAGCTAAAGCATGAAAAAAGTAAAGTTGGATTGACCTTTAATTGCCAAGTAAAAAAAGACAATGCAATGTTTTCCAATGGGTCTTCCTTGATTGTAGAACTCAACATTTAAAAGGGGATTTTACATCTTATGCAAAATTGCAGAACAGAATAATGAAGGAAGCATATTGAAGGGACACTCAACAAAATTGTATTGTGGTGAGATGTACTACATACTCTGGGGAACACACCAGTTCAGATAGTGTGAGAGGATTTGTGTCCTTTGTTTATAGTTTACTGGAAATTAGTGCATTATATGTATGGTTGCAGATGGCTATCCCATGGTGGCATATACAATAAATACAAGTCTTGGACTGTGAGTGAAAAGAAAGCTGTCATGTACACAAACTAGCATTTTTCCCTTTGAAAATGATAGTTGCCTGGCTGTAATGCAGATTCTATGGCTTCATTACCTTCTAAGTTACTGACCTGAAAGAAATCTAAACCCTTGGATCTATTTGTTCTGATGTAGCCAAGGTTTTTAACATGACAACCCCCAGGTTTCCATCATGATGAGTGGCAAGGAAACCTGTCATTACTGAAGTACCGAAACCGGAGACTCTGCATTTTTTTTTTTTTTTATGGATCTTGTGTATTGAAGACACACGTGTGAGAAGTAGATTCCTAATTTGCAATTAGTGCTGACACTTTTAGGCTGAATGTAAAGAAAAATTACTTGCTAATTGTGTTTGAGTAGCACCCAAGTACGGGTAAGTAGGAGGAAGGCAGTTTGAGGTTGGGGGATGAGGAATGTGTCATGGTCAAGGTGAACTAAGCCTTTGGTCAAGTAATTGGAATGGTCTCAGGAACAAGAGGGCTATGTTAAAGGAGAACTATGGGGTCAGTGTTTTTCCCCTATAGTTCTCCTTAGGGTAACGGGAGGACACAAACTAGCATCCTCCCGTTACCCTAAGCTCAGTATACCGCAAGCTACAGCGCTGGCAGATCGGAGCGGGGAATCCAGCCCCTCCCCCTGTCACGGCAGAGAGCCGTGACAGGATCGAGAGGTGAGCGAACCCAGTATGAGTTAGCTCACCTCCAGATCTACTGAGCCGACCTGTGACAGTCTCATTGTCACAGGTCGGCTAGAACTATGAGGTGAGTGGAAATCACTCATCTCATAGTTCTCCTTCAAGGGCCAGGTCTCTACCGTTTCTTTTTAAGGGCCAAATTCTGGTTCAGACCCAGCTCTAAGCATGCATGGAAAGCTTGTGCCTATCACCAAGGGAAGTAATGCCTTTTGCCACATTAGACTTCCCAGCTTTTAGCAACGAACAGATTCAGAGATGCACCTTGTTCCTCAGTACCTGAGCTTCAACAGCCATGCCATTAAAGCCAGTGACTGTGAAGTAGGATGGTAAATTGTTGCTTGTGATAGAAGATCTAAGAAGGGCCCATGGAGTGTCTACCAGGAGTCTTATCCAAACATTCCCCCTCTATCAATACGGAGTTATGAGGATCTGGATTGACTTGTCCCACAAGGACAGAATGTTGTGCTGTAGGGGTCTGGGGTGAAACTGGGCAAATGGGACTACCTCAAAAATGAAGCTACCATCAGCCCAAGGACTCTCACACAGAAGCCAAGAGTCAGACAACTACTGGACTGCAGAGTATGAGTCCAGGAACAGAGAGTTTGAAGTTTCTCCGATGGAAAAAAAATTCTGAGCTGTGTCAAGGACTAGACCCGCATATTCAATAAGCAATGAGTCCATTCCAACACTGATTTCTGAAGGTTCAGGATCCATCTGGGTATTCAGGGCTAGGCTGTCCGCCAGCACCTCTTAACTGTTCCCACAGCAGTAGGGGTCTAGATATCCCACAGTGGGAATACCCTGAGAGAGTAGAAGGGCCAGTACTAAGGCCAGAAACTTGGTGAACACCAGAGACACAGCAGAAAGACCAAATTGCAGGGCCACAAGTTTAAGGTGCAGAGGGCCCACAGCAAAGTGTAAGAATCGCTGCAATGCTGGAAAAATGGGAACATGCAGGTTCACATTCTTGATAACCACAGAGGCCAGAAGGTCTCCTTGATAGGAGACTATGGTAGACCTGGTGGATTCTATGCCCAAATAAAGAATTTTAGGGCTCTGAGATTCAAGATGTAATAAATAACCCTGTTGGTTTAGGAACTAGGGCTGCAACAACTAATCGACATAATCGATTATAATCGATTATTGAAAAAGTTGTCAACTTTTTCAATAATCGATTAAAATTCCACCGCTTTTTTTGAACTCTATTTTATGGTTTATCCGATTAATCGAACCTAATAATCGACTAACTAATCGATTTTGAAAATAATCGTTAGCTGCAGCTCTATTAGGAACTGTGAACAGGTTGGCATAGAACCCCCAAGACCGTTCTGCCACATGGACTGGGGCAATGAAAAATCACTATGGCTGCCTGGAGATCTGCTAATCTGTGCAGTGACACAGTAGTGGTTGAAACTAATAAACCGAGGAGGGGGCTAAGAGCAAAACTAGATTGTAGCCCCTGGAAACCCCCTTCTCCCTTTGAGAAGTAGGGGTACACCTTAATGCTGAAGATTTGTCTGAGGGTTTGGCAGACTTGGGAGTTCCATGCTTTGCAAGATCCTGGAGCTCAGCCTGGGTTTGAACATAGACTTTCTGAGTTGTGGAGTAGCAAAAGGGAATGTTCTTAACCTCCAGCAAGGGATGAGTCTTCCCAAAAGGAGCCTTTATGTTTCTTTGGCTAAGGAAGCTGAGTGCTTTTGCCACCTGTGGCATCCCTGATGGTATCCAGAAAAGACCTGAAGAGACGTTGTCCCTAGAAACACATATGCAGGGTCCACAGTACAACACTTCAGTCAAAATATTATCTGTATGTTAATGGACAGGAGACTGAAAATAAAATGGGAAATCCATAGTAGCCCATCAACAATTCAGAGCTACAGCTTTTTGTTGCAAATGTTCTATAACCAAGGGATCGACCACCAAAGTGATCATATCCCTTCTAATAGCCTTAGACCAGTCAGTCAAGATTTGACAGATCAGTCGCAGCCAAAACAGGATGTAGAGTAGTGCCTGCCCAAGAGAGCACACTTTACAGAGGGACTTCTGCCGCTTATCAATAAAGTGCTTGAAAACAGGTGCATCCTTTACCAGAATGGTGGACACTTTGTCAAGATGGGACATCATGTTGACCCTAAGCTGCTCTGAAAGATTTTGGCATCTCGCCTCAACACCTGCTCTCAATATCTTATGCATAATCAGGTGGACTTTGTGGAAACTAAAGAGAAAAAGGATAATACTACTAAAACATTACCAATATGGCAGGGTCAAAGGCGCATAACGTAATACTTCTACCTACAGATGCTGAAAAAGTCTCCGACCGTGTCAACTGGGACTTTAAGGAGGGAGTTAACACATAGGTTTGAGAAATACTGTGCATGCACAAATCCTCGTTTTATATATCAACCCATCCGCTAGGGTAAGGCCTGGTTCACACCTGTACGTTTTGTAGCGCGCTCAACGCTCTACGAACGCTCTACAAAACGCTCAAACATGAAAATCCCATTGTTTTCTATGGGTATGGTTCACACCTTGCCGTATTTCAGCCCGTCTGAACGCGCTACAAAACGGCCTACGCCTGAAAAGGTACATGAGCTTCTTTGCGGCGTTTTTGTCGCGTGTTTCCATTGGGATACAGCCAAGTAGCCCTCGGAAACGCACTTTATAGACACAAAATCACAGCGTACGCTGACAATCTTTTGTTTTTTATTTCTAATTTGACTCCTTGGCCATTTGATGACAGAATTACATGCCTTTGGCTCCTTGTCCTATTCAAGATCAATGTTAAAAGTCCAAAAGCCCTAAACGTTACATACCTGAATGAGAGCTTGTTCTTGTTCAAAACAGTTTCTAGTTCAAATGAGTCCAACATACTATCAAATACTTAAGATAAGCCCCCTGGAATAAAGCTACCTAAGTCTACTCACTAAATATCTTGGCATTCCTGAAATTAATCAGACCTGATCTGGAGAACTGGACCCCTGGCTCATTTTCCTGTTTCAGGAAGTGTAATGTTGTTAATGAGTATTTTATCCATTATTTTTTTTTTTATATCTGTTACGGGCACTGTCCATC